ACACACACACACACACACACACACACACACACACACACACACACACACACACACACAACCAGGACATAGCACTGTGAGTATGTGAGAGCACAACTTGTCCTCATTACAGAAACGCCAATGTACACTCCAGGGACAACCACATTTTATTGTTTTTTATGCTGCGTTGCAGTTTATTTAAGATATACTCTGAAAAAATAATGTATTTTTTCTATGTATATATAAAAAAGGTAAAAAAAAAAAGAAAAACATCTAACAGAACTGATGAGTTTAAAATCTTTCTGAATTGATGCGATTGCTTTTTTCCCGCCCCCACTTTTTGTCTTTTCTAGTATAAACAAGTGGAGCAATACATGTCCTTCCACAAGCTCCCAGCAGATATGCGGCAGAAGATCCATGACTACTACGAGCACCGCTACCAAGGCAAAATATTTGACGAGGACAACATCCTGAGTGAACTGAACGACCCGCTCAAAGAGGTGAGACAGCTCCTCTCAAGTGTGGATTCAAAGCATTGGCTTCATAGCTCTGGAGGCTATTTTTAGAACGGCTGGAAAATACACATAAAAAGTTTTTGACAGGTTGACGTCCCATGGTTTTAACTTTTAAACATGAATCGGTGAATCTTCACTTGTTAGTATTAAACTCAAATAAGAATCTGAAACACCAACATTCTCATCTCATTTATGATCTAGCGGAGAGAAAAATGGTTGTGTTGACCCTCTTCTATGGGCTATGGAGCCTGTTCAGTGACATCTGATAAAAAAAAATTAATGCGGGGCCACAAGATTGTTTTGAGCAGATGAATGAAGTGTCTCTTTGTGAGAGATACAGGCATTGTTGAAGTCAGATTAAACAGGAATACACAGTTTTTTGTGTTTAACTGTATTCATATTTATGTCAGTTTAATCTAAACCATTCATTTCTCATAGTACTGTTAGGAGATGGCACTGAATGCTCTAGGTGTATGTCAGGAAAGTTTTTTTTTTTTTTTGTGTTCCTGAGTCTGAATTAACTCTGACTCCCACAGCAGCAAAAACATGGGGTGTGAGAGAATCACGTTTTGAGTGTTGAGTTTAAAAATATATACGTTTTCGGACAAAGACAAGTTGTCCCCTGTGCCTTAAAGGTGCAACATATAATGCTGAGAATTACTGCATGCCTAACCAAGTATAATTCATTATTTTATTCAAATAATATATACTTAATTCAAACTTGTAAGTGTGTGTGGAAATTAATGTGATTATGATGTCATGGCCACACATTATTGTCACGGGACAGGTTCTCTATTCCTCAGAGTCGCAATATTAAAACAAATAATAATAAAACATTCTCACTAAAGTTTTAATTGAATTCTAAATTTATTTTAAATAAAATTAACATTTTCTACTCTGTTTTGTGGTGTTTGATATCTAATGTTTTACACAGCTGAAGTTATAAGCTTAATTCCTCTTTTTGTAATCATGTTTTTAATTTTCTTTATTTGGGATTCTTGTTTTTACCCAATTAGTCCTCATGCTCTGTTACTTCAGTTCAGTTTAGATCTTCTTGCGTTTTTGTACTTTATTTGTTAGATTTGTTTTGGTATCCTTGGGTTTTTTTTTGTTTAGCTTCCTGTGTTCCCTGTGCCTTTTCCTCATTCATCCTCAGGGTTTATTCTCAGTCGGCCTGCCACTCTCACCTGTCCCCAATCAGTAATCAACCCAGGTGCCTCCACCTTCCATTTACCTCTGCTCTATTTATTCAGACTCCTGCCATCACCACATCAGCACTTCAGTTCTGGCCTTCATGTTCCAAACTCCTGTCTTTTCTGGGCTCCACGTATTGTTCTCTTTGAATCCCTGAGTTATGCAAGTTAATAAGAACTCCTTGTGTTAGTCTGCACTTTGGGCCCTATCATTCTCTTGTGATAATATCATGATTAGGGGGTGAATTGCATTGTGCCGTAGAAGTTTTGCTGCCCTCATATCTTTAATGAAGCAGTGTGTTGTATTATAGTGTATTGCATCGGCAACAAAAAAAGGAACGCACAACCCCAGTCTGAAGGGTCCCATAGAAACACAGGCTTTTCCAAAAAGATATAAAGAGCAGTATTAACTTTTAGAAACGTTCACTGTTCAGCTTTCTTCTGATATGCAGCAGTACTGAAAAGAGGAGAAACAAACAGCAAAGCAAGCAAAGGCACTCGCAGCCATCCTTTTATGTAGCCCCATTAAGTCACCTCGCAGAGCCGAATGTCGCTGCGTGGTGCAGGTATATGGTTGCAGACGTTTTCAAAGAAGGCACGAGGATTTAAAGATTTAACACAGAAAACTCCACCAGCTTAGTTCAGTGTGTGCAGCAAGCACAGTTCACATCTGCCTATTGGCAACACAGAGCGACAAAAGCTGTTTAAACGAGACCGACAAGCAAAAGAAAACTAAGACCCACCACAAAAAATAAAACCCTTGCAAAGGTATTACTCTGTATATATGAACACCATCTGTGCATACATTGTGCTACTCAGTTAAAATCATCACCTCTGCCTGCTTCATTCCCATGTGGACAACACTGTACAACACATTTCTTCTCATTTATCAACTTTAAACTGGTAAAACAGTGTAAATTCTTATTTTAAACCACTTCTTTATACAAAAATAAACTATTGTACTATTATTTACTACATATTAAGAACAGATTTTATTAGTGTGAAACTGCATAAAAATGGGATTGCAAGTGTGTTTATTAACTTAGAAAGAGCCGTTTGTCTCCAAAGATGCATAGTTGTTCCACCCTGTTAGCTCAGTAGCTCCAGACCAGAGGAGCCCAAAGTGGGGCCCGCGGGCCAAATTTGGCCCGCCAAGCCATTTGATTCGGCCCACCAACAGTTGCCAAAGTTAAAAGGTTGTAACCTGTTATTCTAGGTAGAAACACAGTATTTCCATTGGTCAGATGACTAAATAAAAGGGCTGTAGTGAAGGTAATTTTCATTCATGCTGTTGACTTTAGCTTTGATTTATTAGGATTAAACATGAAACATGAAATGACAACAATAAATATTTAGATCAGATTTAACCCCACGTGTAGATTTGCACACTTTATAAGTCCACAAAATCTCATATTTTATCAATTTATGATATATCCCATGAGCCTTTGCTATGGCAGACTTAATCCAAGCGCACAGACTTAAACAAAAGAGGGCCATTGCATAGCATAATCGCTAAAAATAAAGGACTTTACTTTAAAAGCATTCGTATTTCATGTATTATATTACTGCATTTGGCCCACAGCCCTGGATAGATTTTCATTTTGGCCCCCTCGGGGAAAATGTTTGGGCACCCCTGCTCCAGACAAACCAAGTTCCACGTCCACCTGTTTGTCAGTTTGAACAAACTCACAATCTTTCCTGAAGGATGACTCCTGCTTCTCAGTTGCTAATTTTGAAAGGATTCATTGTTTCTGGCATGACAAATGAGCTGCCTGAATGGAAGTGTTTGTAGGGACGACTGAGTAATGTGCCCATAATCACTCTGATAAAAGCATGTATAATTGATGAAGTAGTTAAAACAAAGCTTTGCTCCGAATGTGTCAGAAGCCTGAAGCCACGAAGGACACGCCAAACTCTTTTGACCTTGAAAAATAATTTATTAGTGCTTCAGTTCACGGAGAAAATCTGTTTTTGAAAGAATTTGGTTATCAAAAGTTGGTAAGTGTTTGTCCCTTTCTGATAAGATCTAATAAGATTTATTGTTACCTCCAAGTTTTCAGGTTTTGTTTTTGAAAAGCTACATAAAAGGATATTAGCCCTCAAGTGTGCTCTTTTTAAGGAACTCATCTTTTTCAAGCTCCGTTTGAATCCTCACAGAATCTAGATTTTAAAAACAGAACTAAACTGGGCTGATAGCTGCTAGGAGTCACCTGGTCTTCGATGCAATGGTTCAGTTCGATCTGCTGAAGTTTGATCTCTTGTCTCAAAACTTCAAAGTGAGGAAGAAATGGACCCGCTTGGTGACACTGAAAACCCAGCAGAACTAGAAGTTACTGCTCTAAGTTGCTAAATCTTTGAAAAGCTGACTTCACACAAACTTAAACAGAACTTAAACAGGGGAACTCTTTGATTTTCGTTGTTTTTGAAAGACTCGTGGTTCAGACAGATTTCAAAACGCTTAAAGGTCAAATGCACCCCACGCATCTGGTCAAGTGTTAATGTGTCTGAGTGCTTTTCCTTTTTAAGCCAAATGCGATTATGATGTCAACATTCGGAGGACATGCAACTAAACATTTTTTCACAAATTGAGTGGCAGTAATTTAAAAGTTAAACGCTTAATGTGCCAAGATATTTTACTTCATCTTCTTCTCCTTTTTTTTTTTTTTTTTTTTGAATCAGGGGCAAAGACCACGAAAATGTATAAATCTCTCTAAGGAAAAAAAAGGCCAAACAAAATGGAAAATATTTCTGTTTTCTCTTAGAGCATCATAAAATCTTTAGTTGTGTGCTGTTAAATATACAAATAGCCACACAGATTTGCTGCAGTGTTTCTCTAAGCACCGCCAGCACCCCTTTTCATTGCCTCTGTTTCTCTGCTATATGACAAGTCCTTAAATAGGGAAAGCCAAAGATTGTTTCCCCAGGACAGATTTGAAAACTCCCTTACTGTCTCATTAGTTCTGGTGCACGATTGAGGTCAGAACCATGTGGCATTTGCTGACAAACACATCTGAGGCTGTGCTAACGTTCTTTTGCGTCGTCCCTCATGTAGCCAGCAAACATGGCAGAGATTGGTTGTCTGTCTGTTAATGTCCTGTTGTCACTGGAGGAGAGTTATCGCTCATGCGGGGTCAACGACACGCCTCTGCAGTTGCCAAGTACTCCGGCTTTCCATCTGCACAGCAACAGAGACGCGTGGACAAACAGACAACAAGCTCCTAATCTCCTGCAGCGTACGAGGGGACAGGATGAGACCAGAGAGATGGCTCGTAGCCGGCACCAGAGGGCAAACTCATCAGGATGTGATTTGTGTGCCAAAAAGTTTCCTCTCAGGAGAGATATGGGGAGTGCTTTAGAAGTATTAGGACTGAAGCAGCACTGTGTGTCCAATTCATTTGTGTTTGCCCATAAAAGTAGCAGAGGGTGAAAAAAAACTGCATTTTGTCTCAGACCACCTAACCGCTGCTCTTCTCTCTGTGGGGCGCCAAGTCTAAAAGAAAATGTTTAAAAAATGTCACTAACTCATTTTCATCTAGTTTAAAAAAATTCCTCTAACATTTTTTTGGTATTTAGCTCACTGTTCTTACATTTTTCTAAATGTAAATATAAAGGTAAATCTTAAATGTGCGCAAACGTGTGCATTTAAAATGATTTGGATGGTACTTGTTGTCTGGCAGTTTGAAGTGCAGCTCGGACACTGGCCGTTTGATGTCCTGAAGTGTTAGCTGCGTTAACATTAGCCATTGCTATTGTCTTAGAAAGAGCCGAGCAAGCACCATTCCAAAATACTTAATTGCAAACTTCAATATTTAGGATTTATTTACACATTTAAAATGAACATTTAGTAAAAATTAGCAAAAAGCAAGAACAATTTTAACTGGGATTTTACGCAAATAATGAAAATGTATTAGTGACATTTTTTATTTTACACTTGGCACGCCATATTTCTCAGGGTTTAGGTGGGAATAAGAATATCATTTATGTTGTTTCAACGAACTCTTTGTATTTTCCCTCCACCAGGAAATTGTCAACTTCAACTGCCGTAAGCTGGTGGCCACCATGCCTCTGTTTGCCAACGCAGACCCCAACTTTGTGACCGGGATGCTGAGCAAATTGAAGTTCGAGGTTTTTCAGCCCAATGACTACATCATCAGGGAGGGCACGGTTGGAAAGAAGATGTACTTTATTCAGCATGGTGTCGTGAGCGTCATCACCAAGTTCAACAAGGAGATGAAGCTGACTGATGGATCCTACTTTGGAGGTAAGAAGATGCACACACAGGGGAAAAATGTATTTTTATCCTGCAAGGCCGCAAAGAACATGCTATATATTTACATGGTAACAACACGAGGCATGAAATCCTCCCGAGGCCTTGAGTTTAATGCTGTTGGAAGTTATTTAAAATTCTCAGTAACTAGTGTTAGACATTAGTCAGCTTCTTTGGTTACATAACCTCTCATCTGGCTGCTAGAGTGGGCCAAGGCACGGATCAGGCATCCCTTAGGACACACAGAGGTCCCTCCCCCTCTCTCACCCTTACACGCAGGAACTTTTCGCCCCCGCCATTCGTTCTCGCTGCATTTACTTGGCACTAGCCATGAGCAGCCTGGACGGACGCCTTTTCCGTGGAAAGTCAGGAGCAATTTGTTTGCTCTGTTCCTCAGCTGTGCCTTCACTTTCTGCTCTTCCTCTCAGCACAGTTCTCTCCCTCAGACACTGCAGACATCATAAATTTTTAGTTGTCGGTTGTTTACGTCAACAAAATTCTCAGGCAGCTGTTGTTGCATCTATCCGGAAGAAAAAAAAATCTCCTTTTTACAGGCTTCCTGCATATTTTATGTCTTGAGTTCATCTTTACTATGCAGAAAAGCGAAGGAGTCTAAGAATACCTTCACTTTAGAGTGTCTGCTGAGAACACTGCATGCCTCACAGGCAAGCAAAGAAGTATGCTGAAATCAAAATGGGAACAAGTGCCTCCTACAGTATATCGTCAAACCACAAGACCCTCCTCAAAGAAAAGCTATAGAATTATTTTATACTGTTTTTACAGTTAAAATAAAGCTGGAGGTGAGTGCAGTAAAACAGCTGCACTTGGTAAGACTTCTTGAAATAAAAAAAATAAATAAAAAAATGTCCAGGCTAACAAGATAATCAAACACATTCTGCTCGTTTTTAGTATATCAGTTTCAAAAAAAGATCACAAATATATTTTGCTGGATAATATTGTAAAACTAGATATATCCTCAAAAATATACGGAGCTAATCAATTTTATCAAACACAAAAATGGCTATAACTCATTTTGTTGAAAACTTTGGCACGCAAGCATTCCTTCAAAAAAATGTAGCATTTTATTTAATGAATTGTTTACGACAACACCAATAGAGGACAAGTGATTTATTGAAAACTAGACCTGCTCGTGCCCTCAACTGCTGTTTGCCTTCTGCTGTGCTGATTTTTTTTCACCCATTTGCATGGCATTAGTAGATGATCACCTTGTCCCCTTTTCTCATATGATTCACTCTCCCCTTACAAGCCGGCCACACCGTGACTAGAATGCAAAAGTTGGTGCAGAGAGCTGAGACGAAACAGAGCGAGGATGAAAAAGAACAATGCCGAGCCGTAGGAAACTGGTAGCATAATAACGAGAAGGACATCTATGGAGACAATAGGTCACAAAGCGCCAGCAGCCATGGTCAACACTGCACTCGCATGCTGAAATAAAAGCACTTCTGGGCTCCGGTGGATAAGATTACAGATTAGTATCGTGTTGTGAAGTTGTTGTGTGGCTTCAGGACCAACAGGGTATGATGCTGGGACAATGACAAACAACAGACAAGAAGCACTTTTGGGCTTGAATGTCTTAGTCATAAGAGACTCACACTCCTCAGTCTTAGTCATAGGGGAGCAGGAGAGAGAAGCTGGTTGCTATGAGTGACACATGACGTGATGGTAAATTATATCTGATGCTCCCGGACTCAGCAGTTGTGATAAAACAACAGACAGGCATCAAACCTGTATCGTGAGAAGTGATAGCCAGGCCCCTGACTTACACACACATACACACACTTACACACAGGCATACGCTCGTAAGCACACTCCATGTTATTCAGGTAATTTTGGAAAAATGTTTAACCGATTGGTTTTGCCACATGACAACATGAAAATGCAAAAAAGGCAGATGAGCTCATATGATAGTATACAAACCAATTTTTTACGTACAAAAATTGTGTTGAGCAATCTCAGGAAATCATATTAGCTTCATGTCTTTTCCTGTACAGCTACATGCTGCTGTCTTATCAAGCTGAATAGTGCAGAAGGAATTTATTGTAAAAAACAATGTGCGCCTGCATTAGAAAGGCAACTTATGTGAAGACCCATGACCTTAGATGTACAGTGAAATTTTTTAAAACAGTACATAAAAAACTTTTTTGTTTAATATTTTGAATATTTAAGCTGAAAATATGCAAAACATGATCAAATAGGAGGTTATACATCAAAGATTTTTTCTTCTAAAATAAACTTTATAGCTTTTATAGTAATGCTATAATAATAGTTGAGTATAATTTTCTAGGTAAACTAAAGTATGTATTGTCTAACCTTTTTTAACCTGGATACTTAGCTAAAAAGTAAGTCATTTAAGGAATATCTCACTCACGTTTTCGTTTTCTTCACTTAATGTTTTATTTTACCAGCTATAACTTCTGAGTATCTGAAGTGCATAAAATTAATTTATTTTGCAGTATAATTGAGAATATGTATTTTTTGTGGTATTTTTCTAAACATGAAAGGTGAGCTTTGAATGAGATTGAAAAATGGTGACAAAAATTTCAAAACAATTGAAATAAATTTTACAATTCTGCAACCAGTTTAAAATTAACAAAGATTGTAAATAGCTTCAGGCCATATGGATGAATGTTATTCCTACCTCATGTACTGTTGTCCATCTTTTTAGGGTGGAACTGTTTTTTTTCTGTGTCAAAGCACATTTAATTTATGTTGTTGATAAAGGGTACATCATGCAAGCTTATTAGAGCAGTGTGTCCATTTTCCACTGAGTCTCATGCATTTTCTCTCACCATCTCTTTTCTTCTGTGCCCATGCTTGTGTTAACAGAGGTGTGTACCGCTTACTGAAAAAGGGGCGCTTTTCCATTGCAGCAGCACTCACACTTTCTTCACACCCACAGCTTGAGAGTAGTCCTCGCACATCCTGCACGTTCTGTGCTCTTATTTTCACGTCAGCTCATGGCAGAGTCCGGACAGATCACACTATAACAAGTTAACATTTAACCATGGAAACGGAAGCGGTGAAGTGGGCTGTGTACAAGTGCAAATGGAAGCTGAGGTTAAGCTGTGGTGAAACAATGAAAAGAAAAACTGGAGGAGGAAGAAGAGAAATGAATGATTGGTCACTGGGAAAACAATGCATTGTGATGTTTTTGAGCCTGGGGTGAAGGAGTTCAAGTATCTCTGTGTCTTGTTCATGAGTGATGGTCGGATCGAGCAGGAGATGGATTGACAGATCGGAGTCTCGTCCTTAGTAATATAGGTGTTGCTTGGGTCAGTTATGGTGATGAATGAGTTGAATCGAAAGGTAAATCGTTCAATTTACTGGTCTGTTCATGTTCCAACCCTCACCTATGGTCATACGGTTTTAATCATGACCAAACGAACAAAACTCCAGATACAAGATGCTGAAATAAGCTTCTGTTGTAAAGTGGGCTGAGTGTTAGAGATACGGTGAGGAGCTCCATCATCCAGGAGGAGCTCAGAGTACAGCCTCTGCTCTTTGGCATCAAAAAGCTTCAGTTGAGGTGGTTCAAGCATCTGATTAGGTAACACATTCTCACTCCCCACTCGTCACATATTGACATTTTTCCAAGGTTCCCTCTGCGTCTTATTTTGATGCGTCGGGTACACCCGTCGCCTCACTTATTGATGCACTAGGCATTTCCGTGTTCCCTCGGCATCCGGGTTTGACGCGTTGGGACGCAAAATATAGGGGTCTTTGAGTTGGGGTCCGTGGTTAATATTAGGGATCAGGGTTAATGGTTGATTTTAGGTAATGGGGTCAGGGATGTGATGTCTAGGGCGAATATTAGGCAATTTTAGGCTTTGGAACACGTAGTTGACGTGAATTTCCTACACTTTCTAAAAATGGTTAATTTTAGGGATCGGGGTTGATGGTTAATTTTAGGTACTAGGGTCAGGGACAGGATGTCTAGAGTGAATAAAGGTCATTTCAGGCTTTGAGACGGTTAGTTTTTGTGCATTTTCTACACTTTCTGAAATTATGACAACGGATTCCGCCCTATCTCGTCAATAACCGACGCGAGGGGGGTACCTGACACGTCAAAATCGAACACAGAGGGAACCTTGGAAAAGCGTCAATATGTGATGACTTGGGAGTGAGAATGGGTTGGATTAGGATGCCTCCCTGTAGAGGTTTTCAGGTAGAGACCCCAGGGCTGACCCAGAACTTAGGGATTATATACCCTGTCAGGGCTGGGAACGCCTTGGGATTTCCTGGAAGAGCTGGAATTTGTCACTGGGGTGAGAGATGTCTGTCTTTGTCTCCTGGACCTGTTGCCTCCGAGACCTGACCATGGATAAGCAGTAGAAGATAGAGATCAAGATGTGATGTTAAGTGGATGTAAATGTTAGGAATACGAAAACCACATGGTGTAAATGTTTCTCACTGAAATACTTTAAACTTGGTATGCATGGCTATCAGTACTGCAAAGAGGTGAAAAGGTTTGTGTCTTGCCAAAAAATCTAGTCAGTAACCATGTCAGATCAAATCGTTTCCATACTACAGTTAACTCATGAAAACATTTTTGTAAACAAACACTGTAAGATTACTGCATTGTACACAATTACAGTAACTGTAAGGGGAACAAAAAAGTGTCTAGTTTGGGCAACATCTCTGCTGGATCTGACCATTAGAGGTATTCCAATTTGCAGGGCAACATGGGAACAACTTTCTCTGTTTATTTGTGTTTGGAATTTGGCAAAGAGTCTACGGCTGACTGTAAATGACAATCTGGGCTGGTGTTGCCGCGGTGTTGCCCTGGTGGTGCAATAGCAAACATGTACTGTATATTCTTATAACCATATATAGACTGGTCTTCATAGGATTCTTATAACTATTTTGTGCCAAATCACTTACTGTGAGGAGAGTAGAAAGCTTTAATATTGTTGCCAATTAGTATTTATTCTAGTCTACAGCAGTTTTTATTGACGTTAAATTTAATAACAAATGAGTTTGTTGATGATGCAGTGCTCTGCCATTGTCTTCATATCTCTACATGTCAGAAACAGGAACTTGAAGCAGCTCTAAAGTCAACCCCCCCCCCCCCCCCCAGTTAGACGTTACATTTCAGAATTGATGCAGCGCACTGAAGCCTGACAAGAAAACTGAATACTGAATCATATTATGAGGCTAGCATTCTGCAAGAGGATGAATTATTTTAACATAGTACGTGTGACAGCACAGATTATAGACTTCTCATTATATTTACAAACCTCTTTGTTCTTCCAGTTCATCTATATGATAATGTGTCCAGTAATCACTGGGATGATATTGTGTATGACCTTCTGTTCTCTCTCCTCCTGTTCCTGTTTCTTCATGTTCTTCTTTGTGTCTCTGCATTCCTGCCACACAGAAATCTGTCTGCTCACTAAGGGCAGACGAACAGCGAGTGTGCGTGCAGACACGTACTGTCGACTCTTCTCACTCTCCGTTGACCATTTCAATGAGGTGCTAGAGGAGTACCCCATGATGCGACGGGCTTTTGAAACCGTCGCCATCGACCGATTGGACCGCATCGGTAAGAGCTTCGTCTCCCTGCCCTGTTCGATTGGTCGAGTATTTTGCCTGTCATCATGCCTTGCTGTCTCGTCTTTATCAGAATTTGTTTGCCTCCTTTCCCTCATTAAAGCATTGTGTGTGCCATCTTGTGCTGCATGACCTGTGTGCGCATATATTTTGTCTCTTTTGTCCTAATTTCCATTAAAGGCGATTTTTGATGTAACAGGCACTATCCTACCAATAAAACCAAAGTAGCATTTTGTTGTTGGACTCATTGAAAGGCAGTGCATGTCGCTGTCCAGGAGGAAGTCAGGTCAACCTCTCTTTGGTTTTGTGTTTAATCCAACCACCCACTGGAAGCCAGCGAGTGGATGAAAGCTAACCTCACATGCATGTGTGTCTGTCCCTCTTTAAACTCATCTGCACTCCTGGGTATGAGCAGCACCCCGCCCCATATTAGACTTCTCAATCAGAACAAAAAACAGGTCCCCACATACTTCAGGTCCAGCCCAGTCTGCTGTGGAGCAGGGCCTTACCCGTTTCATTTACTGTTATTTCATCCCCAAACACATCTCAGACAAATACTTATGAAGAGGAACGCCACAGATAATAAAATACTAGCAACACTTTTTACAGTATAAAGGGGCACATGTATGTCACCCAAACTGGGGAATTATTTGGTACTTTGATCTAAAGTAGCATTCTCACTCACTCACTCACTCCTCATTGTAAATAGCATCAATCTGCTCTAATGTAAAAGTTTGTCACACTGTCCAAGTACTCCTCAGCCAAGTCACGCTCAGGTTGAAGCACTTAATGATGATTCTGCCAGTGAATAATAAGGATTACTTTAAACAGTTCATGTCACAGATACTGCGGTGCATCTTTTAAGGTCTAGTAATGAACTGAGCAATGAGATTACCTTGTGATTTGGGTAATCCCATTAGTTACTTCCAGAAAGCTTCCAATTCTGCATTTTTCCCCCTGTCTCTACCAGAGCAGAATTAAAAATATACTAAAGCTACTATAACAATTTTTGAAGCCTTTCATTTATCACCATATACCAAGTTTATCTACAGTTTCAATCAGAGGGAAATGTTAATTTATAAAGCTGAGCCTCCTGTTTTAAATGGATGGTTTGAGTCGTAAAGTGGGGTTCTGTGAAAAGAATATGGACAAGTAATAACATACCTGTAGTAGAAATAGAGTTCAATTCTGACAGGGTTGATGAGCTAAAGGCTTTGAATGGAACTGAGACCAAAGTAGATGGCTAACATTTTAAAACAACTCTAATCTTGAAAAGTTATAGTAGTTCAAGCTAATACTATATTATAAACATTTTCACTGTAGTTAATTCAACATTTCACATTTTTTAGCTGATTACCTCATTCTGCAGAGGAAGTGCTACAGATACAATGTGCTGCTGCTATTTGTATTTTTGAACAAGGATACAATATGTATATAGCCCACAGAAAAAAAAAATGTTTGGCTCAGTTCTGGCCCACAAAATGCACTAACATGCTAACATTCAGCCCAGATACCACAAAGAACTGTGGCCTAGATCTGGTTTCCTAGAAGTAGCTAATGCATGTAGTAAACACAACCTGGGCCAGTTGTGGCATTCAGGCCACATAAACCAAACCGGTCATCATGAAAACAGTGCCATTATTTCCAGACCTGGCCCAAATCACGTTGACAAACCACTTTCCATACCAGCAGTCAGCCAGCAGTGCCAAATGGCCCAGTGGCCGACACCTGTCTGTTATGTAGGAAGTGTAATGCAAATTTGCTGGCAATGTAAAGGTTTAAACAACAGTTTTTACATAAACTATTAAGAGCTTTTTAATTTTCCAGTTGTTTTAAGATGGCACCCAGGCTTGACCCCGTTTGGATTTTTAACTCAATAAAGTGAGCAGAATTAAACTCTGTTTCTTCAAATTGGGAAAATTTAAACAGGTATAACAGGTACTATAATAAATGTTCATAACTTCTTACTCAGAACACTTCAAATACATCTGAATTAAAGTTTAATTATCAGTTGTTGCTGACAACTGACAACTGAGCTTTTATTGCTGATGCACTACAGGCTCAATTTATTCTCACTTGTTGTCAATAAATGCACCATTTTATAAGCAAAAAGTCTCTGATGGTTAATAGTTTTAATTCCTTTAGAGGAACGGAAGTAAAATGTTTTAAAAAATATAACATTTGTAAATTGACAGTGTTCAAATGTCATGTTGGTAACTTAGTTTGTATCTACTTCTGCCAGTCACTGATGCTTTTCTTTGTCCTGGCTTCCTGTGCATAAAATCCTGCTGGGACCATCAGTGCTACTTTCTGGTATATGGTTAAGTTGAACTCAAACCACTAAATTGTGTTAGAACTGCATTCATGTACAACCTAGTTTGCAGTGAACAGTATAATGGGTTGTTACAACACAGTAAAGAAAATACAAAACATACCTCAAAAATTTCAAACTAACCATTTTTACAAAAACCCTAGTTGTGCATGAACACGTTTAAAAGGATACATGTTGTAGTTTATGTAAAAATAAAACATTATTTACACATTGTTTAGAGACACTGAATGTTTCAATCTCACTTTGCCCTTTTAATTGACAGTTCTAATCTACATTTGCCCTTTTAAGAACTCCCAGCTGAGTTAACTTTTTACTAGAACTGTGTTTTAGACAAAGTCATTCAGTCTGACACCTCTCATGGTGCTGCAGAACAGACCCACCTTTTCAGATGAAACAACAATAAGGGGTTTTGTCTCATACGATGGAAAGTATTTTGTCATGTGATCCGTTCTGGTTTTATCATTTCTACATATGGACTGCATTTGGTTACGTGCTTGTCTTGCTCTAAAAAAAGGAAACAAAAAGGTAACCATGCTTTGAAAACAGTAACATGTTGCCCATTTGACATTATCCTTTATCTATCTAAAAATTATTTGACCAGGAGTCCATCTTGAGACGAGCACATCTCGTTTTCAAGAGTGTCCTGGCCGACGAGTAGGCACCAGGTAAACACTTCATTCCAATATTTGAACGAGAGCAAATGAACCTGTTGAGGCTTGTTAAATGGATCCAGTCTCAGACTCATCCCAGCACTTTGACTTGTTGCTGAAGGTCACATTTACGTGTTTAATTTCTGCATCCGTGACACATAACTCCAGCTACCCACACTAGACCTTCAGATATTTACTTGGACACAAAAAAAAAAAAAACTGTCAACAGCAAAGACAATCAAGGAAACAAAGAGCTCTCATCTAGTCTGACATGCCATTTTTTATTTATTTTTAATTAATTTTATTGATTATTGTCTGGTTGGATTGTAGACACAAACACAGCTCTGTTTAACATTTGTTTTTACTTTTAATGAATCCTTTTTTTCTAAAAGTGTATTCACCAAAATCACCTGCCAATTAGTAAAAGCTTTACTAATGCAATGTCACGTACAGTTTATGTCACTTGCAAGATCATATTTCATTATTTATTCATGTTTCCACCAAAATGAACATTTGTTTCTGATTGTCTGATATTACATTTTTTTCTGATTTTGTAAGAAAGAAAAGAAAAGAATGGTAATTAAAAAAATTATTAAAATTTGGCAATGTTGAGTTGCCTAAACTGTAAATTTCAACATTTAGTTGTAAATAAACACAAAAATAAATTCAGTGATACAAAAACATTAAACTCGATACATATGTTTACACTTTTCAAGAAATTCGTTTCCAGAAGGAAATACTGGAAACATTTGTTAAATGTATCTCATTACAAGTCTACATTTATTGAAGTACCGTACTACAGAAACAATATAAACAATACAGGAAGTGACTGTTTTTCACGTCTGAGATCATTTATTTAACATCATAATCCAATAAAATTCTTATAAAACATAACTGATAATATCTATAAATTTTGTTTAGTTTCACACTTAGTTCTTAGTTCTAAAGTATTTTGGTAGCAACGCACAATACAGCCTGTATTTCCTTTGCACGTACCTGGTGCTTTCTGGGTATGTAACTGGTACTTACTGGGCACAGAATCATGAAGTAACTTGTTACTGTTTTCATACCTGGCAACTGCCAGGTAAGTATCTTGTAAGTACCTGATACACACCAGGTGCATATGGACAACCCAAAGCCTAAGGTGTACATATATAGAAAGTACCAGGTATGTGCCTGGTAAGTACCTGGAAAGTATCTGGTTTTATTTCACATTGCTACCAAAATCTATTCAAATTTCTCAATTTTATCATTTGATCTGTTCTGTTTGTATTTATTTGGGTTAGATATTTTTAACATACAAAGTTTAAAAATGTAGAATGTGTATTTTCAAGAAAAGGTCTTTTATGCATTTGGCCTTGTTTTCTAAATTTAAGTACAAAAGTTTTCATTATTTATCATGTTTGTGAACGTGGTGTGTTTCATTTGCTTTATATGTGTTTACTTTATGTGTCAGCTGTTAATGTTCAAATAAACTCAATTCTAAAAAATGTTTTACTAAAATGAAACAAAGCTGCCTTCAGTTAATTTGGCTTTAGTTTGGTTCTCATGAAACAATCCTTTAGGGACTTCTTCTGTCAAATGTAGGTAAACATGTAGTTTTATTAGTAACAGAAACAGTATTTTCATTTGCCTTCTTGGGAAAAGAGACAAGTTATTTTTATGAAGTTTTATGGTAAATATCCAAAATCTCAAGTGTTACTGAAGTTTATTTTTTATTATTTTGTGTTTTAATTAGAAAAGGCTTCTGCCTCTAGATGGTTTTGTTGAAAATTGTAGCAAGTTAAATAAGTTTTAGTCTCTAACATTCATTCATCTTTATCTCATTGAATTACTATTTATAAATAATTTTACCAAGCTAATGTAAACCTGTAAAGTACTGTAAAGTAAATTCACCTGCTGCTCAACAGACTGTCAAAGCTACTTGGGTGCATCTTGAGGTGTATTTTCCCACTTTTTATAACTTGACACCGTTAACATTATTGAGCTTTAAAACTCAAGATTTACCTCTCAAATTATTTACACACAGTGTACGTTGTTAAAGGAATATTTATATGTATCTCTAAAAATCACAAGTTGTGTTTCTGCTTGTCTTTTGAAAATTGAACTCAAAATAGAGAAGAAGATTTCAAATCAAGTGAAGATGAGAAAGAGGTCTGAGAAGGGTGGTGGGAAAACAATAGATAGGACAGAGAACACAGTAAATTATTTATAAAATATCTAAAATTGAGTACAAGTACAATGACTTAAAATATTCTAAAATAAAAAAAAATCTAATTTAGATGTTACGGTTCAGATTCTTAGTATACATTTCATGCTGCCACACAAGTTGGCAACAAAGCAGCACCTTCTCACAAAGATTTTGTGTTTTCATTCCAATTCACAGCATTTGATCTGTTTGCCTTTAAACTTGCAATGTAAGCAGCCTGTAAGTCACCAGTAGTCTGATAGTTTGATCTGTGATGCTTGTTTTAGCTCCTTAGTCCTCCACCCTGCATTGATTGTTGCGATCAAAGTGATCGACGTCAAGTGGAAAGCTCAGTCCTAAACCAAAGTTTGCACAAAAATTGACATTGGTTTGTTTATGAAGAGCTACAGCAGCAAGGTCTTTTCTTGTCGTTGAACGCTACTTGGCAGCCCTGAGACGGGTAAATGCAGCTAAACTGTGGAGAAATTTCTGCCTTCAAGGACAAATCTCAATGATTGATTGACTGCGGCCGGAGCCTTCAGCACACTGAAAGTCCGCTCCGTCTTCTTTACCGACAGTGCTTCACAGCTTGTCAATACTCAAGGACAGCAGTAATTACAGGAAAGGCGTCCTATAAAGACAGCCGCACATAGACGCTGGAAGTAAATGTGTTAAGAACATATTTATTGCGAAATGTGGCAGCCGTTCAAGACACATTGTACACTTTTACTACCGCTTAGCATTTTAACTCAGTTTTACTTCCAAAGCCACAAAAGTGTTTGGTGTTTAGAAAACCATCTGTCACACATTTGTTTTCGTAGCCATGTTTTGCTGTGACAAGCTGGGAAATATAATCCTTTAGGCACAAAATGTTTGTTGGAGTTCTTTTTAAAAGCAAATTGCCTACTGTATCAAATAAGCACTGTTATTACATAACTTCATTGAAATTCTTCATAGTCAACTGTAAATTTTGCAAGACAAAAATACCAAAAATGAACAGTTCTGACATGTCATTCATTGAGTTATAATATTTTACAGCATATTTACGTTTATGCAACAACATCAATGTACAACAAAAAATAACCAGAAGCAAATTAAATTGACAAAAATACATATATTTTACTTTGTGTTTATCTAAACAGTTTCTAGATGCCCTTGTGATGTGTTCTAGCAAGAGTTTGACATAATTTTTAGAGCTTAAACGTTTTGTCTTTTTTTTTTTTTAGTTCTTAAAAACAATGTCCAGTATTGTGATGTGTGGGTACAATCCATCAGTCTTCTTCTGTGTTTTTTCAGCACCCTCATAGTTGATGCTATCATGTCACACCTTCAGTGATTTTTGTCTCCTGTGTCTTTCACTAGTGTCAAATTTCATATTTTCTCCATTAAATGTCCTTTTGTAATCAGTATTGCTGTTTCTAGTGGACGTAAAGAGATGCAGCTTGTAGGGCTAAATTTTGTGGCACAAATTATAACTTGTGCCGACACCCACCCTCAACCCCCCACGTGCGGTTGTTTTAATTTTTTTAAGCAGTCGCTAAAGTGTTACTCTGCTAAGAGCGTATTAAAACTTACAAGTTGCATCTTTGTTACGCTCATTGTTTGTTTCCCAAGTTTGCCACTACTCGATGTGTTCACTGTCCTGATTGCGCCTCAACAGGGAAGAAGAACTCATTGCTGCTGCAGAAGTTCCAGAAGGACCTGAACGCCGGCGTGTTCAACACACAGGAGAACGAGATATTGAAGCAGATTATCCGTCAGGACAGGGAGATGGTGATGATGGTGGACCGCAAGCAGTCGGTCACTGGGATGAACTCAACCCCGGTATCAGGAAACTCCATCATTAACTCACCAGCTCAGCCTCCCTATTCGACTGCCTTTGGTACCACTCAGCTGCAGCAGTCCTCTGTACCCATGACCTATAGTGCTTCAGCTATTGCCAATGCCTCTGTTGCTCGCATGCTGCCGGTCGCTGCTGTTGCTGCAGCAGCAGCGCAGGGAGGTTACCCAATGCCCAGTGTTTCTCACAGTAACCTAAATTCTTCTTCACAAACACCACTGCAGCAGCAAGGGACAATCATGTCTCCTTGCTCCTTTACAGCTGCCATGTGCAGCCCGCCCGTGCAGACCCCACTGGCCAGCCGGAGTTTCCAGTACGGCTCACCCACAGCTTCCCAGCTGTCGCTTATCCAGCAGCCCATCGGTCAACCATCTCTACCCATGCAGCAACAACTCAGTCAGCAGCCTGCTGCCGCCGCCGCCGCGGCTACAGCAGCCTCGGCAGCACAGCAGCAGCAGGTTCCCTCACCTCAGCGGGGAGACATCCACAAGAGCACACAGGCTCTCCAGTCAGGCAGCTTGAGTCGAGACGTTCGACACCTATCGGCTTCCCAACCGTCCCTGCCACACGACACATCCCTGGGGCCCAGAGCTCATCCGGCCTCAGGAGACTCTCTGGCCTCCATTGTTCTACCGACGGCAGCAGCCATCAATCTACAAAGTGGCATCCGCACTACAGTGCCCCAGCGGGTCAATTTGTTCCGGCAGATGTCGTCAGGAGCCTTGCCCCCGGTGCGCTCAGCGGCATCGGTGGCGGCGGCGGCGGCAGCAGCAGCAGCAGCAGCAGCATCATCCTCATCCTCAACCCAGCACAGAGAATCCCCCGGATCTAGGAGAGATTCTGTCCTCAGCAGTGCAGAAACTGAGCAAGACAAAATGCGCTTTTCATCAAATTTATGATTCCATACTTCCCCTACCTTTCTTTATTTTTGTTATTAAATGTGTTTTGATTCATTTTTAAGATGGAAATAGAACAAAAGAGGTAAAAGGAAGAATTTCTTTATTTTTTCTCTCTCTCTCTTCAATTTTCCTCAAAAGTAACCTCACAGAAATCTTGTAAATAAAACCTTGTATTATATTTTAGACAATTTTGTCCCCCCCTAATACTTAAGAATGTATATTTCACAGATACATCAGTATGGATGTGTGAGAGAGTGTGTGCAAGTGAAGAGGTGTATAAAATGAAATCCAACTACTATATTGGCAATGGCAATTTAAAGCTGTAGTATAAAAATGAGTCTTCCTTTCAGAGAAATATAAGGAATTATATATCATGTACGAAGATTTTTTATTATTTCTCTTTGTTTTGCTTTTTTTGGTTTTTTATAACTGGAATGCAATGTGCTTTTTTATTTACCTGGGTGAAGAAGAAAACCATCCTCTTCACCCAATATTATCAAGCAGCTTTAGGCATCACTGTGGATTTACAAATGCAATCAACTCTGACAAAGAAATTCAAAAAGCACATACTCATGAAATAATTCTCGTAATATTTTACTGGATTCTTTCTTTCGGTAATCTACATAAAAAAGTGTAATCAAGTATTACGTTGTGTTCAGCAAAGAGAATATGTCTGCTTAGCCTTTGTTCCCCCCACAGAGGCTTGCATTCAAACCATGACAGTGTTATGGGTCCAAAGGGAATAGGTTCTGAAAATGCTGCTTTTCTTTCTTTGTTCGAGGAAGTAGATGGAGTGTGTGAAGTTACATATGGGTGGATGCTATTGTTTTCTGTTTCTTTTTTCAGATGGCTGAGATGTTAAGTAATGTTGCTTAAAAAGTTGTGTGTATATTTATAATATTTATAAACTAAAGATTATCACCATTATGCAATAGACTGTGACATAACAATTACCTATATGTGTGCTGTAAATAGTTTTGTAGAGCTAGAATTTACAGATACTGTGTTGTGCATTCTCTATCATAACAATGTCTTACTTCTATCATCTATACGCAACAAAGGTTAAGTAACAAAATGTCTCATAAGAGATGAAGAAACCTTAATGCAACAGCATACAGTTTTTGAGGCTGAGAAATACCTGCTTGGAGGACAATTACAGTTCCCCCTCTCCTCTGTGGCTATATGTAACTTTGGTTCTAGTTTAGTTTCTGATTAAACCCACAGGATTTAATATTTAATAATGTTGTTTTTGGTGTCATTCTATTTAAGGTAAATTGCGCCATTACGGCCCCCCTGTTTCCTGAATCAAATAAGGGTTTTTATTGCACACTCTGCTTGTCTGTGTAAGGGCAAAAACGAATTTGCTATTTTATTTACAATGGGCTTGTCCAAAAAACTGCAACATTAAATCACAACACCTACTGGTCCTTTATAAAACCGGCACTGAATAATAAATGAAAATAATTTTTAAAGAGCTTTAAACTCATTCAGACAGAGTATGGCTTCTTCCAAGCCAGCCTCACACACATTGCTAAAAATACAGTGCTTTTTGCAAGGCATTACTCTCAACTGACTCTACAAAACCAGTCAAGTTCAGTCTCCACTAGAAGTTCAAAACATCCTGGACGAGCCCCCAAATTATGTTACAACCCTTCTTGTTGGACCACAACGTATTGAGGCTTGCCATTAATGCTGCATTTCAGTCATCATGTACCGTGTCAGTTATTGTACCTGAAGAGCCTGGCACACCATTTTGTTGCTGTTGAGAACATATAGTTTGAATTTTAGTCACCGCCAACTCAAAAACTCGACACACAAAACTCTGTCACATACTGGTGAGCTCTTTCTGTTTAAAAAAAAATCTAATTTGGTCAACTATTTAGATTTGCAACAGGAAAGTATGTAACCTTTCAAAATCAGAATAACTGGAAATTTGGATGGAAAAGGGGACAGGAGGGTGTGTGCCAATTAAAGGGACATCACTTTCCTTAGTATCCCCAGTAAGATCTATTCAGGGGTACTGTAAAGGAGAATCCTATCGATGGTCAGACTACAGATTCAGGAGGGACAATTGAGGTTCCGCCGTAAAACTTTGAATCAGCCCTTTGCCCTCACAAGGGTCTTTAGAAGGGCATGGGAGTTTGCCCAACCAGTTTACTTGTGTTTGGTGAATTTGGATAAGGTACATTGTGTAGAGTGCTCCATGAGTGTATGATTGAGGGTCCATTGCTACAGGTCAGTCAGTTCCTATGCAAGAGGTCCAAGAGTTTGGTCACATTGCCAGCTGAAAGTTGGATTCCTCGGAATGGGAGTTGGACTACACCAGGGCTACCAATTGTCACAATAGCTTTTTAAAAGAATGTCTTGGTGCAGCCAAGGGGCAGAGGGAGTCTGGTTTGTTGGTCTCAGGACTCTGTCTCTGTCGCCTGGTGGGGTTTTAAGATAAGAGTTGCTGCTTCTTTGCATTGAACAAAGTCAGTTGAGGTTGTTTGGGGATTTGATTATACCTGCTGGAAGCCTCCCTTTGGAGGTTTTCCTGGCATGTCCCACTGGTAAGAAAACCTGGGGGGGCAGACCCAGAACTTGCTATATGGAATATACAGTATATCTTGTTTAGCCTTAGAACGCCTTGGGAGCTCTTTTTTTTCCATCTCAGCCTGACCATGAATAAGCAGTAGAGGATGGATGGATGGATGGATGGATGGATGGATGGATGGATGGATGGATGGATGGATGGATGGATGGATGGATGGATGGATGAATCCCCAGTGAAGCCCAAGTTTTATGAAGCTGATACGCAACACAGAAATATCCAACATTAATGTGAGTAAAATATTAGCTGCCTAGCTAATCATGACACATTTCACAGCTTTTGAACCTGGGCCTTTCAAACATGACTCAATTTAGGATCGTGCCCAAATCACAGATCACTGACAGCTATTAGCATCTGAGCGTTAGAAGATGGGTATTTGAGGAAAACCCTGCTTTGCTGTTTTTTGGTTTTGTTTTGGTTTTTTATGGTTTGCTGAGAGTTAGTTTGAGCTTCTTTGCTGTTGTAAACTCTCAAGCTGCAGCTCTCCTCAATGGATTGGATAAATTTTGGGTACACAGCAGTTTTACAAGTCACATGCCCTTTAGAAAAATGAGTAGAGTCAAGTCTCTCTGCTTCCCCGAAATCACTCACTGAGAAAATAGCTCAGAAGATAGGCTTTATCGGAGCGTTTTGTACTGTAATCTTGTTGTCTTGACCAAAGCATATCACAGACTTTTCATTAAGACCTCAGGAAAACGTGTCAGCCTTTGAAAAAGCAAGCTCCATGTGTCTCGTTTAAAAACGTTGGGTATCAAGCCACTTGTGAGGGAACGTGTTCACTAAGCAGTGTGTTTGTGCTGCTCCAAAGTGAGAGAAAAGATATGCTGGTTTGCATTAAGGTTTTTGTCTCATGTAAATCCATAATGTGGGCTTAGGTACTCTAAACTGAACTGGACAATATGTACAAAGTCACTTGTTTTTAATTTATTTTCTTAAGGAGTTTTTTGTTCTATTCTTTGCCTCAAGCATTATTTAATGGCTCAAATAATGAAAAGTAAGCTGTCGTCATGGCTTACAGGTTCTTTCCATGCATATACAGTAGGTTGTACATCGTGCTCAAGGCCTTACTGCAGTCTCCTTAATCAAATGTGACAAATTCTCAGTCATGCAGACTTTCTATTTAGAGCCACAGTTTTCATGGCCCCAAATATCCCATCAGTTCACAGTGACTAAGCCCTTTGAAATGGCGTTTAAAAAAAAGTTACACCACAGATCGTGTCAGTAGTTTACTAATACAGTCAACCCACCACTGTCATTAAAGCATGCGTTGTCACAAATACTTAACTAGACATTATCTCAAAAATGTTAAATGTAATGTTAGATTATATTTTGTTCACTGTCTCTCTCTCTGCCTAGATGTTATCTGTATGTGAACAGAAGCATTGACTTTTTACATGAACAAGTCTAAAGTATTTGTGCCTAAACTATCGCCATGTTCCATTCTTTTGTTGTGTGTGTGTGTGTGTGTGTGTGTGTGTGTGTGT